TTATATTTTGACTTGGGTTTGACCAAACCATTGACTTTTTGACTTTGACTAGATTTTGGAGGTTTGACATTTTTGTAAAATACTAGATTCTAATTGGAGTCATTAGCCTTTGAGTTTGACTAATTTTGAATTTTCTATAGTTAGTTATAATTTTACGAAGTTTGGATATTTATTGGATTTTTTTAATTTTTTTAATTAAAGAGCCCTTTTAATGATTTGAACTCAAATAAGTCCCAAACTGCTTGAAATCACCTCCAAAGATCAGAAATGATCTAAGAAGGGATCAGCAAGTGTTTAAAAAAATTTTAGGATTTTTAATTATTTTTAATTAATTAAAGTGATTAAATATTGATTTTTACTTAAAATTAAATTATGGTTGAATTTGATGTCAAATTAAAGTGGTTTTAATTTTCACTCATTAAGGATTAAATTTTGGTCAGTTAGAAGCATTTTATGTATTTTTTGGAATTAATATTGATTTATTATAATTTTTAGAGGGCTAGAAGGTTAATTAAGGGGTTAATCATAAGTAAATTAATTATGAGACCTAATGATCACTAAAATCAGTGGGATAATTTCTATGGAAAGATAATGTTCAAAATCTCAGATCAAGGGAACATGCACCTTAATTGTTATAATTTTCTAAGTTCTCTACTCAATTCCTTAATTATTATTCTTAATGATGTCATTAAGTCATGCAGAATAAAATCAATATTACTAACTCATGTGCATTACATATGCAAATACACAGACATAGCACACTCAAGTCCTTAAATTTAAGCGTTTCTAGGCTAAGTGGTGTGTGTATCCTACACATGCAAGTACTAAAAAATATATTAAAAAAACTATTTAAATTTAATAATAATCGAACCGACGGCGTAATGGCGCGGCGGCGGTGGCAGACCAAACATGCATTAACCAGGGATTCACGGTTTCAAACCGCTGGTAAAGATTGTTTGGCGGTGATTGTTCTGCCGACAATCATTGGATAATGATGAAATCGTGGACGTGATTTCACTTATCTGAGTTAGCTCAACTCCTCTGTCGTCGAATCTTCCGTTGTAATGAAACAACGGCTGTGATCCAGCCAGACGGAGAAGATGGCCACAGAAACAGACTCGCGGTCGTAAAAACATGCGGAATGGCCAAATTTAGGCCGTTGATCACGCGATCAACGGCTTAAAAAACGTACACTAAGGGTACATAATGAACGAACCCTTATAATGGGTTTTTTGACTCGTTCGCTCGGCCCGGTTAACCAAATCACTTGAAATTTTAATCCTAAGCCTATAACATTAATAGAAAATCTTGGGGTGTCCTCAATACTACTTAAAAAGCGGTAAATGAAGAGTTAAATAACCCTAACTACTGTGACCTAGGGCTAAGGGTTTTAAGGAATTTTACCGTCGAATCTTTAAGATATTGATACTATTGAGCCTGTAGACTGTCCACATAAGTTTTCCTAGTTGAAAGCACCATTCGAAACACCTTGGATCAACTACTAGGAGGTTGTAATGAAATAGGTGGTTGGTTCGCCGGAAAGATTACCGCCAATGACGTGCAACCACCTGGAGTTAGTAGTGGGAAGGTGGAGGAGAGCTTGGAGAGTTAGAACAAAAAGAGGTTTGGGTATGGGAGGCTGGAGGAAGTGAGAGAGTTTAAGGGATTCAATTAATACTCAATAGGGTATTTTGCCCTATTCAAATGCCCTATATATTAAGGTATGACTGGGATTGATTGAAAAATCCCCTTGATGGCTGGCACATGTCCCCAAGATGGTCAGATAGCATAGGGAAAGCCTGGACCGAGCTCCTTTGCTATTGGAGGTTTTGAGCTTAAGGGGGGGGGGCACTTCCATTTATGGCTAAACCCAACCCTGGGCTCGGTTAGAGTGATCTTAAGGGAGTTTAGGACTAAAAGGGAATCCCCTAAGCAGGTTGAGCTGAAAGGAGGGGTCACATGCAAGGGGAGTTGACTAGGGGAGAGATTTGAGTGTGTATTGACCAGTTTGACTAGTCAATAGTCAGATCAGCTGCCTATGTGGCATGGGAGGAGGGAGATTGAGCTGGTTGGACAAGGTTTAAAGCTTTGAAACCAAGTAATTAGAGTTTGAAGAGGGAGTTGACCATTCAAGGGAATGCTTAAGTGCTTAAGTTGACCATTTGACTGGTCAAAGAGTCTTGTTGACTCATGAGGTGGATTTAGGAGATGCGGACAACTAATTAAATGAATGGAAAGTATTTGATTGGGTTGAACTTGATTGAAATAAGTGATTTGATTCAATGGGGTTGACCAAAGTTTGATTTAGTTGACCAAGTCAATTATTAATTGGGTCAAAGGGTTCAATCACATCTAGAACATTAGGGGGAGTGGTTAGGTGGATTTGCAAGAATTTGGACACATTTAGAGTTTGATTCAAAGCTATTGAGTCTAAGATTTGATTTGATCAACCTAGGTTGACCTGATTAACCCAGTTGACTTAAGGGTTAGGTTTAGGCTCAACTGATTCAAAATGATATTTGGAGATCAATGGAGGTGGTCCTAAGATCTGGGAAGTTCATTTGGGTCAAGTGACATATTTTGGGCTCTTAATGAGTTATTAGGTCAGCCTGGGTTGACCTAGGGGCTATGACTGGGGTCAACAAATTTGAAATGTCATTTTGAATGTGTTGGAAAAGGTTTCAAGGCATGGGAAGGTCATTTCAATCAAAATGACTGTTTTGACCCTTAAGGGGCTTCTAGGTCAACCTAGGTTGATCTGGTTAACCAAATTGACCCAGAGTTTGGGGTTGGCTTTCATAGGTCCCAAGTGATGTTTAAATTTGATTGAAAAGGGTTTCAAAGGTGGGTGAGATTAAATCACATTGAATTTTGGTCAAAGGTCCAAAAATACATTTAAAGGGCATTTTGGTCATTTTGGCCTTAGGTCCATTATGGGTCAAAGTGAATCCAAAAAAATATAGATTAATGCTTAACATATAATATCAAAGGTATGGAAGTGATCAAAGGGTTTGGATGGGGCTTCAAGATCATTTTCTACTGGGTGATAGGTCTAGTGACATATGCCGTAAATATTTGAAGGTTTTACAACTTTTTGAAATGAGTTTAGTTTCCTGGCTTAGTAATATCAGATTGAGCACAAACTTGGAAGGCTAACCCTAGAGACATGTCTTATCAATCTATAATTAATAGACTCTAAATCAGGAGTAAGTTGAATGAGTTTTGAAGTGTTTAAAAAAATAATAGGAAAGGCTTTCAGGACCTAAGCCATTGGTCTTGGATTTGGTCAAGATTGATCTAAGATCTAAATTGATCCTAGGGTATGAGGACTGGAAGGATCCTAAGATCTAGTGTCTAGAAGAAATCTAGGATCTAGGAAATCTTAGGATCTAGATTCTAGAAGAGATCAAAGTGACCTCATACAAAAGTGATGTCAACACTATAATGCAAAATAAGCTATTGCTGAGTTATTTTTCCTATACTGGTTGTAATGCAAAATAATTTGTACTCGCTGTAATGCAAAAAAGTTTAGCTATAATATAGATTGTTCTGAGTTATTTTTTCTTGTACTGTCTATAATGCAAAATATTATGTTGTTGAATTAGTGAATTTGAAATACCAAAAGTTTGGCTATAATGCTAAAAAGTTTGGCTCTTGGTGAATTTGTAAGTTTGCTATTGTTGAATTTGAAATAAGAAAAATGGCTCAATGTTTAATTTATATTTTGAATTTGCACTAATATTATTTTTAAATTGTAAATTCTACTTAAATTTGAATTTTTTATACAGTTAACAGGTTCAAACCAGGTCAGCTCATCCTCAAGCCTATTTCAAAACTATTTCAACTTTCTCCTGGGCTTTACATTCATACTTCTTTCAAAATGATCTTACTAACTAATTCTCACATTAATTTTATTCCCTTTGTTAATTTTAAGTCACTTTAGAAAATTACCTCTTTTATGACACACACACACACACACACACACACACACACACACAAATATATATATATATATAGTATTTTTTGGCACATACTTTTGACTATTATATTATTTTGGATAAATATCACCCAAATAATTTTTTATACTAAAATACCCTAAATTAGGAATGACTTGAAGAACTCATATTGATGTGGAAAGAAACTAATTTGAACTTATTCAATATTACCACGAAGTCACTTGCTACAACCACTTAATTATGAACGTTTATAAAACAATCGATAAATCTTTAGCCTATACGAAGCTCAAATCATCGGGTTTGGTCGAAGAAAGTAATTTGGTTTATCTTACATGCCTAAGTAGGTTCAAATCAATATTAATTAGTTTAAACTCTAACAAATCCAAATCAATTTATCTTTAAATCAATCTGAATTCCTTAAATGATTTATCAACTGCCAATAATCTAATTACCTAGTGAAACATATTAATTTAGATTTATGATTTGTTAGGAATAATTTTATCATTGCTTTGTTTTTTAGACAGTAATCATAACATCATTTTGCTATTACTTTTTTTAGTACATTTTCATCATTTTTTAAAAAATTATATGGTAGAAAGATATTTTTTGCAACCAAAATAATCAAATAAATTTTTTAACAATAATTTTACAATACATTTAATAAATAAATAATAGTTCCAAATAGATACTTAAACAAATTTGAAAAAAAAAACTAAGATCATAAATAAAAATTATTCAAATTAAAATGCTGTGTTTTTATTAAAAAAATAATTTAAAAGTATTTGCCTTAATTTTTTTTATTTATGAGATAATAATAGAAAATGCATATCAAATGAGTAAAAAAAAGAAGAAAAAATGAGTGGAACAGACCTAATTAATATTTATTATTTTTCTAAAATGATGAGTACCTATGATTTATGAAGTAATATGTTATCATTGTTTAGTTTGGTTGGTGTTTGAAGAAACTTCGGCTTGATATTTTTTATTTTTTTTACTCTATTAAAAAAGAGAGTAAATATATATATATATATGTGGTTTTCTTTGTTATGAAGTGAAAGCATTTAAGAACCGACTTCGTGCATCCCCTCCGCGTATATCTATCTGGTCTCTCCTCTGTCGATCCACGGTTCTATCTCTTTCCGGCTAGGGTTAGGGTTTCCGCTCTGCCTTTTCTTCGTCCCTCCCCGTGTATCTTTCACTTCTTTCTCTCCGTCGATCCTCGGCCATATCTCTTTACGGCCTGGGTTAAGGTATCCTCTCTGCCTTTTCGTCTTACGGATTTTGTTTTGTCCCGCAACCAAGATGATGCAAGGAGGAATGGTACCGCAGTCCATTGCTCCGACACCCATGGAACAGCAGCAGCAGCTGGCTCAGCCGCCTCAATATCAAATGCCTCCGCAGGCGCAGCAGGCCCCACCACACTGGGGAATGGTTCCACCACCTGCGCCTCAACCGCAGTACCCGCCGTCGCAGCAGCTTCCGATGTGGAACCAGCAACTGTCGCAGATCCCTCCACCGCAATCCATGCCGCTTGCTCAGCAGCCGCAGTATCTCCAAACCCAGTACGGCGCACCCATGGCGGCGCCTTCCTCCCTTCCTATGCAGGCGCAGCACCAGCCAGCGTCCGCTGACGAGGTCCGCACGCTCTGGATCGGAGATCTGCAGTATTGGATGGAGGAAACGTACATCCATGGTTGTTTCGCTCAATCAGGAGAGGTAGGAAATTTCTTTTTCAACCGTCTTATAATTTTTGCAAATTAACCTAATTGTATTGTTCTGTTTGCAGTTACATGTTGTAATATGCATATTTTAAGGTTCTTTTTTAATATTGCTTTCATTTCAGTTCTAATTGATAGATGTCTGTTGTTACAGGTTGTATCCGTGAAACTTATCAGGAACAAGCAAACTGGACAGCTGGAAGGTTACGGGTTTATTGAGTTTGCAACACGTGCTGCGGCTGATCGTGTTCTCCAGACTTACAATGGAGCAATGATGCCTAATTCTGACCAAGTTTTTCGATTGAATTGGGCATCCGCTGGTGGAAAGCGTGTGGATGATGGTAATGATTATACAATATTTGTCGGAGATCTTCCGGCAGATGTTACGGATTACATGTTACAAGAGGCATTTAGGAGCCACTATCCTTCTGTCAAGGGGGCGAAGATTGTTACAGATAGAATCACCGGGCGTTCTAAGGGCTATGGTTTTGTTAGGTTTGGAGATGCGAATGAGCAAACTCGTGCAATGACTGAAATGAATGGAGTGTATTGTTCATCAAGACCCATGAGGATTGGTCCAGCAGCTAGTAAGAGGGCTACCGATGGACAGCAGCAAGATGCCCCAAAAGGTATTGCTTTGATGCGCTTACATTTTTATTATCGTTATGATTGTTATTTTGATTAATTAGATAATTTTTTAACTTGCTGCAGCCTGTTTTCTCTCTCTCCGCTGAATTTGCTGTCATGTTATAATGTTTTGCAGGAAATCTTTATAAATAATCAGTCACTGTAGCAATAATTGAAAATCTTTATTTGTATTTTGACATAGTTTGTATGATTTATAGTGCAATCAGCTGAATATTACTTTTGGGATTGAAAGAGTGGACTTCTTATTATTAGCTTTATTTCCAAGTCTCACGTACGAAGATTAGTTGCACTGCTTCTATTTATGGGCAGAAGTCTTTTCCTTTCTTCCATTTCCTTTCTGATTTGGGGTTATTTAATCTACATGTAAAGAATTAAAACTTATAAAACCTATATTGTGTCGAAGCAGGAAGCCAAGAGGCCCTCTTGATATAGGGCCTGGACTAACTTCGGCTGAGATGACTATCTTCTTTAATGCGTGGCCTCGGTTAGGTCAGTTTTATTGATTATGTCATGAATGTACCCCAAGTCATTTTTTATGTGGCATTCCTTCCTTCCATTTTCTTTAAAATTTTCAGAAAGTAATGTTTCAGCTTTCTCTGCTGTTTTAAATTCTTCTCCTATTCTTTAGAGTTTAGATTAAGAATCTTCCAAATTCCTACATTATTTTTCAGGCTTCTTGGAATATATATGTAATTGAGTCTTATAATGTTTTCTTGAATGTTTAAATTTCAGCTTTGAATGCTTCATTAACTCGTCTCCTTAATCTTTTATAAGGGATGTTTTGCCTATTATTATTATATTTATTACACATGAAGTCATTTATCCTTTTCTTTTGATTTTAATTTAATGATCAACATTGAAATTCTTCCAAGTATAGCATTTGCATTGTTGGGAATTGTAACTTCATTTTGCTGTCTCTTTTCATGCTCAGAATTTTCTATTTTCATTTTGTCTTATGTTGCTGCAGCATGGATGGTGCATTCTTACATGGTGAATTTTAAACTTTTATGTTTGCTTTGTACGTGCATTAGTATCTTAGAAGATTGTGTACGTGAATATGTGCACTTTCTAAATAATGTTCCATTATGTTATCATCAATAGTTTATATAATTCAGTAGTCTCTTTTATATTCCATTCTCAATCCATCTCTTTTTAGTTTTACTACAAATTCATCTTAGCAATTTCATGTCTTGCATTTATCTTACCTATTTTTATTTGTATTTTTATTCTCCTAACACTTAAATTCACACGCTTAATAAATCTAATTGTAGTTGTATAAAATATACTTTCAAGTTTCTATGGTATTTTCTTATTGAATATTTTTCTAAGGCATTCTCCAATTTAGTCACCAACTCGTAACTCTTGAAGTTATATACTCGTTTATAATCTCTTTCTATTATATCATAAATTCAATGTATTTAAACATATCACCTACATATTATTTAATCTTTCAACAATATTGAATTATAACGGTAAAAAAGTAGAAAAAATTACTTTTACTTTGAATTTCATTGATTATGTGCAAAGTATGGAAGTATTATATACTTCTCCAATAGGCTTACAATGAAAATAAATTCAAGTTATTAAAAAAAGGAAAAAAATTCCCCAAGAGGGGGTTGATGGCTAGAATAGGAAGATGAGGCGCACGGATTGCAATCTAAGGGCTATAAGTTGATCGGTCAAACGGTTAAATTACTTGATCCATGTGCTCAATGACCCCTACAAAGATTTTTTGACTTGTGGGTCCTACAATCTAATAATTCTCCCCCTCAAATTGAATGATAGAAATGTACTATTCAAGTTTTTCTTATAATATTTTTGAATTAGGAGTTGTAGTCATTTGATGAGAACGTTTTTTATTTGATTTTATTTTAAACACATATGGAGTATGAATTAACCCACTGCCTATTTTCTTTTACAAAATATCTAACCACCTTCGCATGCTTCATACTATTATATTGCACTGAACTATGTTAAGAAAGTTAGAGGCAGACATATGTTAAGAAAGTTAGAGGCAGACATAAAAAGACTTGGTTAGAAAATATTAGGAATGACCTTTCTTTATTAGATTTAAAACATAATTTGACTTTTAATAGGACACAATGGAGAAAAAAGACTCATGTAGCTGACCCCACGTAGTGGGATAAAAGCTTGATGATGTTGTTGTTGTTGTTGGTGTAAAAATACCTATGATGATAATTCTTATGGAGATAAGTTGTGTTCTCTAATTTCTATTTTGGTTCAATTTCTCGTGTTGGTTTGAATTGGTTCATGCATTGGTTCCTTCGTTCACCGTGGATTGCCAGGTTGGTGTGATTTAAATTGGGTATTCCTCAGGTCTGAAACCTGGATTCCATGAATTTTGCTTGTGGTTTTGTTTGGATTTTCCGGGATAAGTGAGATTGCGATTCTCGTATGATATTTGTTTTGGGTATTTGTAGCAAGTGAAAATTGCAACTTTTTGCATGATTGGGCACAATAGTTTTTGATTTTTTTAGGAATCTTTAAGTTACTGAAGATATTGGACTACTTGCTATTTGGAGAAAGAATTTTATTATTATAAATAAGGGATATTTAAGACAGAAATGAATTTTTTTCTTTAGCACTTAAGTATTTTTCTTCCCCTTTGTGCTTGGGTGCTAGTTTGATGTGGATCTTTCTAGTGCTGTGTGTGCTGTGCAAGTAGTGACGACTCATTTTGATGGAAATTGCCTAACTTATCTTTTAGCACTAGGTGAGATGTAGATGATTTTCTCGTGTGGTTTTATTAAATGTAAAATTCTTTCAAAAATTTTTTTGGGGGTCATTAGTTTATTATTTGGGCAAAGAAGTTAGTCAATAAAATTAGGATTAAGATAATAATTTGGAATATATGTTCTCTTACATATAAATTAATAGAATTAATAGATATTATGATTCATAGGAAAATAAATATTCCATGCTTTCAAGAAATTAGATCGGTTGGAGAGAAGATTAAGGAGATTGATAGTTTAACTTTAGGATTTAAACTATGTTATTCAAATAGAAGTCATACTAGAAATGATGTAGGTGTGATTATAGATAAATGATTGAAGGATAATGTTGTAGAAATTAATAGAATTGGGGATAAAATTATCATTTTAAATATTACTATTAATAATAAAATTATTAATATTATAAGTGCTTATGCTTCTCAAGTAGGTTTAGATATGTACTCAGAATTAAATTTTGGAACGACTTGAAAAATAATATAAAATAAACCTTTTGAAGAAATAATTCTTATTGGAGGAGATTTAAATGGACATGTTGGTAGAGTGATAAATTTTTTTAAAATGTTCATGGTTATTATGAGTTTGGAGCGACTAATGAAGTTGATACGATCATATTAGATTTTGCTCTAGCTTATGAAAAAGAGGAGCACCTCATCACTTATAAGAATATATACAATAAAACTCAGATTAATTATTTTCTTTTAATAAAAAAAGATCGTTTAGATTACAAATATTGTAAAGTTATTTCGAGTGAAAGTTTATGTATCCATCATTGCTTATTTGTTTTGTAATTTAAGATGAAGGGGTGGAATATGAAAAATAAAATAAATTTTTGTCGTAGGATTAGATCGAAGCATTTAAGAACACTAACAAAAATGTTTTTAAGAGTAAAATTCAAGATCTTAATGTTTTTATTGTGCATGAGGAAGCTAGTGATATTAAAATGTTGGAAATGATGTATTGGAGTATCAAAAGGAAAAAAAACACTTAATAGTAAAAATAGTTGATGATAGAATCAAAATGTATAAGAAAAGATAAAAAATAAGAAATTTTGTTATAAAAATTATTTTGGATGTAAAAGTTTGAAAGAATGAGAATGATATAAAAGGGGCCGTTAGGAATTTAAGAAAATAATATGCGTTGCAAATAATTTAGCTTTTAATGATTTATATAATATATTAAATACTAAATAGGTAAAAAGATGTATGCATAAGCTAGCCAAGCAAAGAGATAGAAATAATGATTTAATTCAAGTGAAGTGCATTAAGAATGAAAATCAAAAAGTGCTTTTATTAGAAGAGGATATTCAACAAAGATGGATGAGATATTTAGATAAACTTTTCATTGAAGATTGTGAGAATACGATTGATTTAAGTGACCTTAACACCCTAAATAAAAATAGATATTTCTGTTTTTATCATCGTGTTAGTAAAATCGAAGTTAGAAAAGCTTTAAAGAAAATGAAGTGTGGAAAATTAGTTGGACCGGATGATATTCCAATAGTGGTGTGAAAATGCTTAAGGGATGAAAGATTTTCTTGGCTTACAAAATGTTTCAATATTATTTTTAAGGCTAAAAAGATGCCAAATGAATGGAGGAGTGTGTTGATTCCTATTTTTAAGAACAATGGTGATGCACAAGAGCGTGTGAATTATAAAAGAATTGAGTTAATGTGTCATACTTCAAAACTATAGGAGAGAGTTGTTGAGTATAGGTTACAATGCGATACTAATGTTTGTTAAAAATAATTTGGATTAATTCCAGGTAGGTCTTCTATGTAAGCTATTCATTTATTGAGAGGTTTGATGGCGAAGTATAGAGAGAATAAAGAGGATCTACATATGATATTTATTAATTTAGAGAAAGCATATATGATAAAATTTCAAAAGAAATGCTTTGGAGAGGATCAACTTATATTCAAGTCATAAAAGATATGTATACATGAGTTGCTATTTCTGTTCAAACACAAGGTGGTTTAACCAAGTATTTTTCTATTTCATTTGGATTACATCAAGGATCAGCTTTAAGCCCATATCTTTTTTGCTTTAGTCATGGATGCTCTTACTAGATATTTACAAGAGGATGTTCCCTGATGTATGCTTTTTGCTAACGATATTCTTCTTTTTGGTAAGACTGGAGAGGGCGTTGAAGGAAAACTTGAATTATGGAGGTCAACCTTAGTGTCTAAAGGTTTACATTTGAGTAGATCTAAAACTGAATACATGGGGTGT